AATATCTCTAACTAATTCTAATATATATATATATATATATATATATATATAGACAGAATAATATTAGAAATAAACATTTTATAAAAAATTGGTTCTTAAAATAGACTTTTGTGTGATTACTTCATATAAAAAAAAAAAAGATTATTAGATTACTTCTACAATCTTACTTTACCACCCATGCTCAATAATATGTTATGCGGATGCGGTTGTGTGGAGACTTGAGTAAAAATTAGGGCTATCGTTCGAGTAGAAATGAATGAGTATTCTCCGTTTTAGGAAGATTTATAAATGGATGAAAAACACGAGAACAAAATGACACTAATGATATTATTATATATTTAAATTTTATTTATTTTATCAATTTAAATTTAAAATTTAAATTTTATTATAATAAAAATTATTGAAGAACAATCACATTTAATTTTTTTATTATAATAAAAAATTATTATATAAAATTATAAATAAATCTTTATATTGTTATTACCACGAGCAGTGAAATTAATTAAAAAGAAGAATATGCACGGCACGTGCAGGCAAAGTATTTTTTTTTTAAAGTACAGTAGATAAGAAGAAAATAACAAAAGACGTTGGAACGGCAAAGAAGGGAAGTGTGATGGCGCTGTTAAGGAATGATACAGTGCTTTTAGGACACGAAACCAATGTTGGAGCTCATCCATGGGCGTCATGTAATTCCAGTCGTGTTGGCGGGTTATGGCTAAATCCATTCCCGATCTCCATTAATCCTTCCAATGACGCAGTTTCGCGGCGTGGTCGCCGTTGCCGTTCGAAACCGTGGCCTTCAGTTTCAATTCGGTCGCTTTTCGATAAACGAACTCCCAAAGCGATGGCAAATGCGGAGAGGCACGAGCAGCAAAAACGACAAGAGGTGGAAGAGGAAGAGGAAGACTATCGAGTGTTGACTTCAGTGAGAAGCAGTTATAACGACATCATGATTTTGGATACTGCCGACTCAAGAGTCCTGCTTCTTGATCATTCTTGTAATTGTCCCCTTTTTTTTCTGATTTTTATGAGTTTGTTTTAGTTCATTTTTTGATGGGATTTCTTGATTTTTGAACTGAATGTGTGGTTGTTTGTTGATGCAGATAATGTGCATAGCATTCTTTACAAGCATAAGAAATGGACTGATTCCTACTGGGTATGAGCTTTTGGCCTTTTCTCCTTTCTTGTTTGTTCAGTACATGTGGAATGGATACGGCTAATACTCATGAGGTGTTGGTTGGAATTGTTAGGCCTTTGGTTTGCTCCCATAAGGTCTGGGTTCGAACCACCTCATGGGCACGTCATGATAAAAGTTATAGTTTCCTGTCTTCTAAAGATTGTTGAATTTTGATGGAAGGTTCCAGTTTCTAACTTGGTATCACAAAGTGAGCTCGGGGGATTTCTGAGCATAAAAAAAAAAAAAATGGATATGGCTAATTGAAGTAAGAAGGTGTAAATTAGGGCCAGTGTTACTTATCCAATTATTCATCTTTACCACTTTGTGTTGGGTGGCTTGAAAAAGAAAAGAAAAATACTTGGGGCACTACTTGTGTAGAGTGCCATAACTAATAGAAGGTTCACCTTATTCATGAAACTCACTTTCTATTAGTGTGTGGAACGCTGTTGAACTTCTTTAGCATTTTTTCAAAATATAATTTCCACGTGATAACAAGATGATTTGGCCTTTTCATTTAGGGATATGTGCAAATATGAACTTTTATAGCTATTTTTTAGTAAATGGCCGAAGTTTTCTAGAATTAGGGAAATGGCCATTTATCGGTGATAAACCATGGTAAACCAATGATAAATTGGTTTATACTGATTGACTTGGTGGTTTACCACTAATTGACCAATATCAGTTAGCCACAGACCAACTTCAATTAACAATTTATGGATTAATTAGTGATAAATCATTGGTAAATTAATGATAATCCATGGTATATTAGTGACTGACCACTGTAGAAAATAAATAAATATATTTCCCTAAAAAAGAAAAAGTTCAGTCATTTGCCAAAAAGAAGAGGTAAAATTCGAATACCAACCTTCCAAAAGTGATATTCCTCTAAGTTCTTAAGTAGGCCATCTTCAATGTGTTAAGTTTCTAACCTATAGCTTCCTTTAGCAAATCCTTTTAATTCTCAAGGTTGTGAATCACAATATAATAGACAGAACACCTTTTTCTTTTTCTCCATGCACTGCTATGTGGATAAAAATTTAATGAACTGAGTGGACAGTGATTAATTTCTGTTGCTCTTCGGATGGTACTTCACTTGCCCTCTATGAGTCATAGAGAAGAGAAAGTGCACGAAACTTTTAAATTTCTTTCTGCATGTGAATATTAGATTTCCCACCATGAGACAGCCTGTTGAAAATAGCTTTTCACTCTCCCTTTCAATGTGTTTTCTTTGTTCCTCAGGACGAGTTTGCTAGCTTGCCACCAATTGTTCCAAAAGGTCCCATTGCGATCCTTGGATTGGTAATTTCTCTTGAATATGAAAATGATGATGATATTTTGTTGAAATAGCAATATTGAACTTTTTTTTTTTTTAACCAAACAGGCCATTTAAATGCTAAAGTAGAACTTTAAAATCTTTTCAGGGTGGTGGAACTGCTGCTCATTTGATGCTTGATTTGTGGCCTGAATTACAGCTTGAAGGCTGGGAAATTGATCAAATAGTGAGCACTTAATAATATCTTTCTCCACTAATTACATGCAAACTTTTTGACACGCATCTTGGTTTCGATGCAGTGATTTTCAACATTCTGTTTAACTAAATCGTAATAAGCCATTCTACTAAAAAAAAAAAAAATCATAATAAGCCATTAAATTAGTATTAATAGAGAACTTTTCATGTTAAAGATGAAAGATGGTGCATCATAATCATTTAGATAGAAGCTAAATGAAGTCCTTTTGTATATGAATGGTTAAAAGTAGTTACTTGGTGGGCTGCATTTTCTTACCCTGTGTTTGAGAGATGATCCCCTGCATATCAATAATGATGTGAATTCTTCATGTAGCTGATCCGACATAAAATTTCTTTCCTAGAAGAAATATTACTATTTGGAAGACTAGAGAGAGATGGCTTGCTTCTTTTACAGATTGAGCAAGTTTTCTATGAAACTTACATTGCAAGTGGAAAAATTATTCCCGAAGAGATTAAAGTGTTTGGCAGACAAAATTACTCAAAATATCTATTAAGAAAAAGAACAAAAAACAAAATAAATACTCAAAACAAGAAAATAGTCTGCTTCAGGGCCAAAGAAATAAGAACTAATGGACCACTTGAAAGACAATCTTTTTGTCCATGGTTCTTTTTGTACATCTTTTTTTGGAAAACTTTTAGTGTTTAGCTTTTCACGCGTCAGTGATAAATTGTGTCACACCAAGATCAAAACTTACAGATATTAGCAGAGCTGTAATAATTGTTTCAATTAATGATCCCTATGTTTTCTTTATATTTGCTAGCTACATGCTTAGATGTCTTGTTCCTATGATCAATGCCTTACTGGATCTGGTATTTTTAGTTGATTGATAAAGCAAGAGACTATCTTGGGCTCTCTGATCTTGAGAAGCATACTGAAGCTGGCGGCATACTTAACGTTCATATTGGTGATGCCCTTTCTCCCTCGGTTAATATTTCTGGAGGTTATGCTGGTGAGATTCTTGTTAGCTTGCTCTCTGTATAACCTGGTTAAGCTCCTAATGTTGTGGACATCTGATGTCAAATTTTCAGTTCTTATTTAGTATTCTTGATATTCTTCCGAAAATTTGGTAGCTTTGTTCACACCTTTGATCTATTTACCACCCAGTAGATACTGTAAAAGGCGAAGCAGCATTTAAGTTCTAATATAGACGATGACTCAATTACTTTATGCTTCTTTCTAAAGCAACTCCATAAATTAATGTTCTGTCTCTTCACCTTCTACTAGAAAGTCTTCCAAGTGTCTCCCCTTTTATGTTTTTCTAACTAGTGCTTGCAGTAAATGTCAGGCCTTGTTGTTGACTTGTTTTCTGATGGAGGGGTTTTGTCACAATTAGAAGAGGTATGTATCTTCTCTGTTTTGTGTGCTCTATTGACAATGTGTAATGTGTGAGCTTTGACATCCCCCTTCAAGTTATTGCGAATATGCTCCATGTGATCACCTTGCTCTATCAAAGATTTACGAAAGATGGTTGCTGCTCTTGCGAGTAGCTACTTATTAAATGCAATATAAAGCCAACAGTGTTCCGCTCAATTTATTATTGCTTACTAGTACCCTTCACTTCATATCCTTGGAATATGATTTATGGCTTATGAAAATGGCTCATGGTTAAAGGTGGTAGTCTTGGAACTGGGATAGCAAGAAAATTTTTTGGTATGCAAATTAAATTTCTCGTGAATATTTGTGTTTGTGAGTATGCATTTGCAACGGCACACTGCACCTGCATACACGTGGTTTTTCAGTCATGTTTCTCATTTGACAGGTCGCTACTTGGTTGGAAATGAAGAAGTGGTTGATGCCTAATGGTCGTATCATGGTGAATTGCGGTGGCACTAGTGGAGGATCTGAAGTTGATCCTAGAAGTACATCAAGTAATGGCTCCTTGGTTCAGAATTCTACAATCAAGGCACTATCTGAAGCTTTTGCTGGAGAAGTATGGCTCTCTGAAAATATTGCTTCCCTGGATTTCAATTTATGCCATCTAATTATTTTCATTCAATTTTAGCATTATATTCGAAGCTACTGGCGCAATACTAATAAATTTTTAAATGCCAATCAACGTAAAATTCCAAAATCATTTTAAGAGACGGCTACATTTTGAGTTTTTGGAAAAAAAAAAAAAGAAAAAAGAAAAAAAATCTCAGAATTTGATAGGGATTCTCCTACTCAAGCTAGTCTGAATCTGCAATAAACAGTTTACAAAATACATGTCAAAATTCGAAGTTGGCTTCATCCTGCCTAGTATTTCCATGTTAACTTTTTGTCTCATATGCAAAACTATGCCCATTCAAATGGTAGTCTTGTAACCGAACATTCCAATGATTATCTTCCATATAGCATACTGTCTTATGTTTTCAGTGTGGCTGGTTGATTCATTTTCAAACAATGAGGCGTTTCATTATTTTAACCCTGTCTTAGCATGAAAATGGGAACATTAATATGCTTTGACTGCAAATGATATTGTGACCAAGGGTTATTTTGAGACCAAAGAAAGCTCTCTCTCTCTCTTTTTGTCACATTAATTGATGCAGATATGCTGGAAGAGACTGGCAAAAGAAAACGGTGAAAATCACCTTGCACTGACAGGACCTTTACCAGATTTGGATTCATGGTCTACAATGGTACCGTATCCTCTGAGTACCAGAGTAAAGCAATGGAAGCCATACGGTGAGTTTTAGGCGAAGCCGAAGCTAGCTTGTCGCGTGCCTGCGAAACTACTTTCATCGTCAAACTACAACTGAAGAATGAGAACCTGAAGACTTGGTACAAATTCGGAGGTTTACTTTAATTTTTTTTTTTCTTTTTCTCTTTTCTAGTTGATCAATTGTTATCTCAAACTGACGCGCAATATCGTTTTCATTGCAGAAAGAAACCACAAGTGATTGTTCAACTTTACAATTGTTTATATATACAGTAGCTTGTAGAATGATCAAGGATAAATTTGACTAATGTGACACTGTATTTGAAAATGACATTGCTTTGGTTGTAATGCAAAATTTGCTTCATGTAAATGACAGTCTGGTTCCTTGTGATGCATGAAATCACGTCTTTTAAGCTTCAACTGGCAAAGGGGGAAGCACATTTAGGTTGTCTTGCGTACACATGACATATCAATGATGCATAGAATGATTGATAAGACTATTTGATAACGCACCTTCTTGGAATTCCCAATTCGTTTACATGAGCATTTTCATATAATTAGGGCAAATCATGCCAGCTGGCTGTAGCCTCACTAGTAAACACAATTTTATGCAAGTTATAGCAACATTATGCTAACAAGAGAAATGTTAGCATCGCTCTTTTTATCACTCTCTGTATTTACTGTTTAACGTGTGGACTCTATTAATATGATATATTATTAATTAAGCATTATAGTAGAGTACACGTGTCAAATAGTGAATAAATATAATAAAAAAGAGTGACAGAAAAAGTGATGTTAGCATTTCTGATGTTAAAAACACAAACTATTGAATTAGAAAACATTTACGGATCAGGTTGAAAAGTAATATTGAGTAAGAAAAATTACCAAAGAAGTTTCCCTTAAATAAACCAAAGTAATTTAGGGGTCAGGTCAAAAGTATAAATCATAATATATAATTTTTGTTTAGGAAAAAACCATATAGCTAGACTAAGTAGGGCGGCAATTAGCTAGGCATAATAATGGATCAGGAGTTTACTATATATGCTACGTTATGTACATATTAATGATGTTATAAATGCATGCATACACAATATTGTGTCATTGCTTTATTGTTTTATGTACAAAATAAAATAGTAATAAATATGTACAAGTAAATTGCACGTAACAGAAATTGACCAGTGGAGTTGTGGCACTACTTGCAGGGAAACAACCATATAAATATAAATATATATATATATATATATATACAGATCAAAATCAAATCACATATTATTGTGATGCAGTGTCCGTAAAGGTGACGGTACCTTTGATATTCTCAACATGCATCCAACCCTCCAGTACTTTTGAAAATATATGTATGCGTATAACCAACTATATTACCAAATATATACATACATATGTATACATATATTATATTATATATGTGCAAACACATGTAATGGTTGAACAAAATATAGTAATGTAAAATGTAGTAGAGACTAGAGAGAGGTAATTAAGCAATGACGATTGATATCGATGAGCCATAATTTGGAGAGTTTCATCACCGTGTTTGACCAGCAATTCCAATATTAATATTATAGCCAATATATATATATATATATGTATATGCGTATGTGTCTCTGTATAACATTATATTGTGTTAATCCTTTTGGTCGTGAGAGAGAGGGAGAGAGATTGCGTAGGAATCCCTTTGAGTCTGAAACAGAGGCATCCAGATCCCGGAAAGCGTAACTCTTGAGTATGTGTAATATTTATAATATATAATATTTGGGAATAGAATAGAATAGAATAAGAAAAACGAGACCTTGAATTGTGTTGTCTGTGTTGGATCAGCACGTGTAAACGCCACGCACTTTAAGGAATTTGCCTTCTCAATATGTATAATATCTCGTAGCTTTTCTCTCTTGACTATGAATCTTTCACCTTCTCTCTCTCTCTCTCTCTCTCTCTCTCTCTCTCTTGATTATCTTATTCTAATATTTTTCACCATCCGCTAGCTGTTGCTGATGATGAAAGCTTAAAACCCTTTTTGTCTCATTTGCTTTTGACATTTTTGCTTATAATCTATTTATTTTATTCTCTAATTTTACCTTTTTCTAAATCAGAATTATGATTCAAAATTATTTTCGATTTACGTGTGTTTTTTATGAGAAAAAATATTGTAACGAATCATGATTCAAATCATGGCATGAATCCACCAACTAAGCGCACCATAACACACTCATATATAGTACATATGATTTTTTTTTTTAAAAAGAGACCCCCCTTAGTCCTGTGACTTTGATTTTTCATTAATTTTAAGCTTACCAGCTGCGGCCATCATTTATTTCTTTAAGTCAAATTTTCAGAGAAAAAAATACATATATTTTTTATGTAAAAAAAAAAGAACAAGAAGAAAAGAAAAAACGCAAGCACATACAAAGTCTGCTTTTTCATTAGCTTTAATTAACAATTAGAAGGAGAAAAAATTCTGCTTACACCATTTTGAATAGTTGTTTCTAATTTCAAAGGTGTACCTAGGATCCTGAATCATCATCATTCGCATTATCCTCACTCAGATTAAGCACCACTTTGCCCTATACCCAATATGAATATTAACTATTTTAAAAATTGACAATATATGAAAGTGTGTAAAGGGTAATATATATACCACATGTATGTTTTTCGAACAACTAAAAAAACCTCCAATGTTACCCACACTTTGCACTGAATTTGATGCAAATCGATCCCATATGTATAAACATATGTTCACACATACCTTTGAATTGGACATCTTTCAAGAGATTAAAACTCTTTCTTTCTTTCTTTCTATCAAGTCTTATTCTCATTCAAAAGAATAATAATAAAAAAAAAGTATTACTTTTGATGAAATGTATCATCACTCCAATAATCATGTAAGACCATATAACTAACTAATGTACACAAATCTTAGAAAATCTTTAACAATGGTTTTTGACCTACTTTAAATGCTACGTGCCCGTTACTCAAATTATGATTTTTTATTCTGACATTCGAAATTCAAATTTTTTGTGAGAGAAAAATACTGTAGCAAAATCAATAATTTGAGTTTGAGTATATAAAATAAATGAGCTCTACATTTTTATAGTAGTATTATCTCATATCTTATCTTATATTACTAGTATGTGACAATATACGTTTTTGTTTCTTTTTCATTTTCTATTTAAAATGACTTTGAGATTAGCAAATTTAGTACCCTCAAAAAAAGAAAGAGTTTAGAAAATTTGGAAAAATAACAATATATATATGTCCGTAGGTGGTGGTGATGAATAAGTTAATTAAGTAGTTTGGAGAGGGTTCAAATGTGATACTATTTGCCTGCCTATTGGTCAAACTCTATATGCGGTGAGTTTGTTGGGATTATATATATAGTCAAAATGACGAATGTGAAAAATATTCAAAGATGTGAGAGCAAAATGCGCAGGCAAAAGGAGGAAATTAAGCTCCCAAACTGACAACTTAGGGAACAAATAGAGAGGCAAATATATAATAAACCGGGATATCAATATATATGAAATTCATTTCTCATTTCTTTAGTGGTGGATATATCAATTATCACATAAAGAAACAAAGCGAAATGCCTTTATTCCTCTTTGACTCTGACCCTCGGCAGTACTTTTGACAGATACATAATATGGTTACATAGATATTGTATTATATATATATATATA